AGACAAGAACAAACCCTAAAGAATAAGACACTTGTGCTTGGAGAAGTACTGATTTTAGAAATGAAATGTCAGGGCTGTGCCTCTACAGTATCTACATGAATGAAAAGTGACATTTCAAGAATTAGGATACAAACTGACTGAAATTAAATGATACGAGTGGTAGAAGGAGAACAAGATATGGGACAAAGCGAAATGTACAGCCTAGCTCTACTAAGGTGCTAAAAATTTAAGAGGCACAGTTCAGAGATCAGAGACACATTTTACTGCCTCTGTACCTTCTTGGTTTTGAAATATCTAAGTGTTATTTAAGGAAAAGACAAAATTTGGCTACATTCACCATTTTTGTCTCAGTTGTTTGTATCACATCATTTCTTGTAGGCCTGACTCCTATTAGGTCCATCTAACCTGAATACATTGTTATCTACACACATTAAAGTTTGAAATGATCCACTGCTTACAGAGGAGCGCTATCCCCATATATAAGCACCGTGACAACTTTGTTGTGATAATGTTTCCCTGTGTGATTGCATTGTGTTCCTCCTTACATCGTATCATTGATCCTCTGCAATTTGAAGAGGAGAAGGAAAATTCTGCCATTTTCCCTCAGGCTCTAACCCTATATGACTGTCAGTCGTGTGGAAAGGTCCTCTGTCACTATCTTCACATTCCTATTCATCTGTGAAATGGTAGCATTTCCAAAGGTATCGCAAAAAACAATGACGTGTGGTCAAGTCGAAGCAAATTTACACAAATTATTCTTAGAAATCTGAAATGTGTATACCGTTAAGAGACATGATAAATCATTTCAACTCCAGTAGGTTGACAAACTTACATTACTTTTTTTCTATGAAATCTCTTTAGTAACGTATTTCTGAAAAATTTATCATCCACAATTTCAACAGGCTTGTCCTATGAAAAGTAATTAAGTCTAATTAAAACATTAATTAAAGATAATCTGCAGCCCTCACATATCACTAGATTACAGTAAACAATGAAGTTCCAATTTGCATGTATATGCATATTGAGTTTTACAGCCCTCCCTGAGAAAAGACTCAGATATAACTGAAATATAGGAACTTTTTAAACATTAAATGAAATAAAATTGCATTTTAGTAAATGATAAACTATATCAACTCAAGTATGTTTTTGTGTGCCATTTTAATGAGAATCTTCCCCTAGTCAAATGATACTAATTTTTACTCAAATATTTTGTTGTTTCCTTTTGTTAATTAAGTGTTTGCCTTTGCCACTTAATAAATAAGGGATCAGAAAAAGTTACCTCCATTATGTTCATTCAAATATTCATCTTAGGATTCACCAGCAAGTCATGATGTCATCAAAGTGAAGATGTGACTTTATGAAGCACCAGTCTTCTCAGACAAGAGCTGAGAATGATCAGATCTGGTCCCCGCATCATATGGACACACCTGACTCATCAAACATTTGAACAGATATGAAGCTGCAAGAAAATAAGAACACCTGTAATAGTAAAGATAAGTCCTCAAGCATAGCAAAAATATCAATAACCCTGCAGTCAAACAATCTGATTTGTGATCTTAGAATTAGCTATGGACATACGTAAGTATGTGGAAAGGGCATAGAGCATGAGGTGCTTAATTCAGTAAACTTACACTTTTAAAATTTTCTGAACAGGCAAACTATTGACATTTTCATTATTAAAACTCTCAGGAATTGTTTAAATAGTCTAACATATATTTAGGTTTCTCTATAAAACAATTCTTGTTTAACGCTCAATGTTTATACTTTTAGTATATTTTAAAATATATCTTAGTGTTCTGTATAAGATTTATTTTTTGATGAACTCATTATATTTATATTTTTTCCTCAAATATTTTGCATGCAGTAGAGCATCTCATCATCAAACTGTGATCACATGATATCTTTCACCTATTATGAAAACATAAAGCCATGTCATCCTATTAAAAATTTTTCTAATATTGGAAGTGCCCAGATAAAATAATTCAATTCAAGGGAGCTCTACTGGTATTATTTAATATTTTCAGATGTAATATGCTGCATCTTACAGTATGTAATACTATATAAGTGGAAACATACTGAGAAGCATAAGGACACAAATATTATTTGTTACATACATTGTCTTGAAAGTGAGCAGTACATAATGGATCTTTCATCAACATCATGTAAATCATAGAATGCTGTTTGTTTAAATGGTAGATCAGTTAATAAGCCATGTATTGTCAATAATTTCCATTAAGTTGGGGTCATTAGTGACATTAGCGAAATTGGAGATATGCACCTATATATGCATATCAATCTGTAAAATCTCACTGTCAAATGAGGTCATTGGTGCAATTTCACTAATTGAGAAAATCTACATGTATAAGTGATGGAAAATTGTGCCACAGCAGCCTTTCTTTTTGCTATAAAACCCTGATAGGATAGATAATGATCATTTCATTGGATCAAAGTAATATGTGAACAAGATTGGGCCAAACTTTATTTTGCACAAGTGAAGAGTGCATTACTATACATTTTTTACAAAACATTCAATAATCCATTTTTATATTGGCTGATGGTATTATGGGTGACATTGTGAATTATAAGAGTTGTACTGCTCATATATTATGCAATCATAAGAGAAGGAAAAAAAAGAAGAGAAAAAAAGGAGAAGAGAGGAGAACAATGACACCATTGTGTCGGTTAGGACCACCATCCTAGGGAGACTCCACACTGCAGTGCCCTTGGAAAGTCAAGGTCAACCACCCCAAGACCTTTGTTTAGACTGTGGCCAGCAGGGCACTTACAGGATCTCCTCCAGCAGGTGTTAGCCTCAGCCTCCCAGGCCCTTCTCCTGCCAGGGTCTCCTGGTCCTTCTCTCTCCAAATTTCAGCCTGGTTGTTACTAACCCAGGAATTCTCATGCCCAGAATTCCAGTGGCATCTGGGCTCCTGAGAGACACAGCTTCAGCTCCCACCATGCTATATTTCTCACTCGACCTGCCAGGCCCTGAGGACTTCAGCTGCCAAGACGGCCCCACATCTCCTTCTCTGGGAGCTGCTTGGCTAAGACAGGCTCACCTCACCCTGTCTTACCCACTCCAGTGCAGGCCTCTGTCTTTTGGCACCCACAGAGCCCACCAAGTTTCTCTCTAGTTTAAATTCTGAACACATGCACATATCTTTTGTTTTTCTGGCCCCCAGCCCATGGCATTTCCAGCCCTGCTGATATTGCTGACTGGGTTTGTCTTGTCCCTGTCATGCCCAGGTCTTTGGTGACTTTCCTGGGCAAGTATTTCAGACTCCACATAACATATCTCTCCAAAAGAACCCCTACACCCAACCCAGACAGGTGGCTCCTGCCATGCATGGAACCTAGCAGCAAATGCCCTTAGCTGGGATTTTCTCAGAGAGAAAAACCAAATTTTCATACACTTTCTTGTGTATGAAACAAGAACTTGTGCTGCAGGCTTTGATAGCCTCCAACAGTGGCTTTTTTCCAACGACCCTTATCACTGGATTTGACCAGCTAGCAAATGCTACCTCATTTGAACACTGTGTCACTGGCTGAGTTCTCTTCCACTCTGAACACCTGCATGTGTTCTAGGTGAAGGCCTGAGAAGCATCTGAGAATGCTGCTGTCTCTACCATGATGTATCTGAAGGTCGGTTCGGTTTGGTTTGGTTTTCATGTTTATCCCCTCACCAATAGTTTCAATTTTCAATAAAAATTACACCTGCTGGCAGGTTTTGTGAGGTGAGAGGAAAATAAGACTCAGCATCTAAAGAATCTGATGGAAGGTTCTCTTCACTTATGGAATCTTACAATAGCTAACATTTAGAGAGTCGATACATCATTTATATTGATATCTCTGTCAAACTTATTGACCCCTACAGTTAATAGGTCGAATTCTACCATTTTAGGAGAATTATATTTTAATAAATTTCATTAACAACTTTGAGCAAACAGAGTATTTGCTTGATTGGGTATTCATTTTCCACAATTGCTTCATCTATCATTTGCAAACCCCAGAGGAATACATGGCTTCTTGGTCTTTTGGATGCTATCGAATACAATTCACATGCTTATTAAGAGAAATGTCATTGCTGAAATTGCAAGACATTCTTGTTAACAAATGAGTTCTCTGGTAAAAAAAAAAAAATCCATATGAGGTGAGGATAGAGCCCCAAACTTAACGAAGTTGTGTTTCACATATATGTCTGCATCACCTTCAGGTGAGGTGACAACAAGATGCTTAGGGAATACAGAGTTCCTGTCCAAAAAGTACCAGTGTATTATCTGGAGAGATTGAAATAGCATTAACTCTAGAGGGCTTGTAGGTCAATGCAAAACATGTATAAATACTGTAATAAATTATCTCAGTTTCACCAAATAGCATAACCAATACCTTGCTCTTCATTCATCAGCAATACTCAGGAAACGCATCCCTACAAATAAGTCTTATTTCATGAAAACAAAACCCAACTAATAATAGCAACAATAGAACAAAATGAAAATCTTCTTAAAGAGGAACAAAAATAAAACAATATATCAATAACTATGAGATGTTTGTTTTCATGGTATGCAACATAAGTAGAGAGGTGATAGGTATTTACATAAATATAGAGTTAGTCGGACCTCAAAAATAGAACAAGAGATTTTTTTTTTTTGTCTTTTTCGTTTTTATCGGTACCAGGGATTGAACTCACGACTGCCTGCTTGCAAGGCAGGTGCTTATGCTGCTGAGCTAAATCCCTAGCCCCGAACAAGAGATTTATCATAAAGGCCCATAAATTGATCAAGGAATTCTGACATAGGAGGCAAATTATTTCATTTATGAGGTAACTATTATTTAAAGATACTTAAGACCTACGTGAAGCACATTAGTGAGATAATATGCTTCACTTCCTGTTGTTTTCCCCACCTGCCACCAAGAAAGCATAAAAGGCCCTGGCAGAAGATGACAACAAAACTCAGATAGCTACTTCCTGGTGACCAACTCAACAGTCCACTGCTGACACCATGTGCTACTCTGGCAGCTACTATGGTGGCCTGGGCTACAGCTATAGTGGCTGTGGCTGTGACTATGGCTGTGGCTATGGTGGCTCTGGTTATGGCTGTTGCTGCCCCCTGTGCTGTAGAAGATACTGGACCTGTGGCTTCTACTGAAGCATGTGCAAAGTAGCATAACATCTCAGGGTAAAATTATCTCCACATACACAAAACATTTAGTTATTTTTCAAAACTTAAACGCCAATTAGCTAGTAGTCCCTCAAAGGACTTATATCCAGAAATACGAAAAATTGAAAAATTTGACCCCAAATCCAAAAACCCACTCCAAAAGTGGGCATCTGAGATGAACACACATTTCTCAGATGAAGATATGCAAATGGTAAATAAATACATGAAGAAATGTTCACCATCACTGGTGATTTGAGAAATGCAAATTAAAACAGCATTGAGATTTCATCTCACTCCAGAAAGAGTGGCTGCTGTCAAGAAATCAACTGATAACAAATGTTGGTGAGGATGTGGAGAAAAAGAAACACTTCTACACTCTTGGTGGCAGTGTACATTGATGCAGCTACTGTGGAAATCAGTATGGAGATTCCTCAAAATACTAGGATAGGATGTTCCATTAAATCCAGCTGTTTCTCTCCTGAGTACTTTCCCAGAAAAACTGAAAAGTTTATCACACAGCGATACATGTGCACCCATGCTCATAGCAGCACAATTTCTGATAGCTAAATCTTGGAAACAACCAAAATGCCCATCATCCACAGAATAGTTGAAAAAGATGCAGTATTTTTATACAATAGAATATTGCTCACCTATACAAAAGTATGATCTTGAGGCTTTTATAGGTAAATGGAAGCAACTTGAGACTATCCTCATAAGTGAGATAAATCAGACTCACATTTGTAAATATCATATTTCTCTCTAGTGTAAAAAATTAATAATAATAATAATAATAAAACTGAAAGAGTAATAAGATCCAAAATGTATAATAGATATTATAATAATGAAAGGGAGAGACAGTGCTTCAAAGGAAAGAACACATTGTAGGTATATGTATATATATATAACTGAATATGTTTTAAGTATGCAAGATAAATAACCATGCTACTACGTTTTTGTTAGTTCATCAAACAGAATCGTTTGTGCTGTCATTGTTTGATTGTCTGTAAATTCTTTATGCTTTGATTTTGTAACTTGAACAGCTACTTTTAAGATAACAATATGCAATTTATCAACCAGTGGTTTCTTACTGTTATTTTTTGAAATTCTGTATTATTTCTACTCTTTTTTCTGTTCTGCTTTTTTTCTCTAACTAAAATATTGGCAGATAAAAATCTTAAACAGCAATTATTACACAAAACATTTATCAGACACAAAAACATTTTGTTTCTTTTAAAATACTAGTTATATAACAAACTAAGAAAAATGAAAGCAATGCAATGTATCATTTTGATTCCTCACTGAGGGACCAAATAAATTTTTGAAAAGTAAGCTTAAGCAGTTCTTGTTTCTAGGAGGATACAAGAGGTTGGGACGTGTAGACAGTACATGTTTTTCTTCTGGGCAGGCAAAGCGTAACTGTAGACATATAAAGACACATTCTTAAAAATAAAATGTGGGCTATAACATTTAACACAGCATCAGGTGTTCTATTATTTGAAAATTCTTAAGCTTCCCTTATCAGTTTTTAAATGCAAACTCATTTGAAAAATAGAAAGACATGTCAAGGTGATAAGAAAAGAAAAACTGGAGTCCGGGACCTGCTAAGAAGCCGCATCCCTAAAAGAAAGAGACTAAGGACTCGGAGTGTTGACAGTCGATGCTAGAATCCCTGAAAACTGGTGTCATGTTGGTCTGCCACTGAATCAGGATGACCTGACCTTCCCTGCTACTATAAAAGCAGCAAGCAAAATTTTCACAGTGGAATATTTCAGAAGCAACATTAACTTTGGATGTTTTCTGAGGTATTATCTTGTTTAAATGCAAGGATATGAATACGACAATTTTGGGGCAGGGATATAGCTCAGCAGCATAAACACCTACCTGGCAAGTGTAGGGCCCTGAGTTTAGCTCCTGGTATAAAATACAAAAACGACTTGAGAATTTTTCATCTTTGGTCCTATGTAAGCTGTCTCAATGAGACTGAGAAGCCACGACTCTATTTGATTTATTGATTATAATCATATCAATCTTTTAAATGACACTGTGCTCACCAAAATAATCCATTTCTTAACCTGTAACACCCCTAGTCTTTATTTCTATTGATACCTTAACACCATCAAATTATCAATCATACGGTTCATTCATCCTGAGAAATGGTCAGAAAATAGGTTGCCACAGATAACATGCTTCAAGAAGGAAAGGAAAGAAATGATAAGAGAAGGGAGGAAGGAAGAGAAGGAGAAAGGAGAGAAGAAGAAAGGGAAGGGGTCCCTGTGGAGGAGCTGAAACCAAAGGAAAATCAACACCTGCAGAACTTTCATGACCTGTGTCACACGGTGTAGTGAGATCATCTGACCAGGATTAACTAAACACGGGATGCAGCAGATCCTTGGAAACAGATTGAGTTGCATGTCAAAGACTCATAAATGATGATGGGTTTCTGACTCAGTAGTGAAATCATCTCTGTTATGAGGTCCTCATTTTATCAGTAAGCATGTGTTCATGTGGTCATCTGAAGCGTGTTGGTGAGATAATGTGACGCTGCTCTGCCTGTGATTTCCCCTCCCTCCACCAAGAGATATAAAAGGCACCAGGCAGACAGGGACTTCCAGACACAAGACACCAACTTCCAGATCCTCAACAGAACACTCCTCTGCTGACACCATGTGCTATTATGCCAACTGCTATGGTGGCCTGGGCTACGGCTGTGGTGGCCTGGGCTACGGCAGTGGCTGTGGCTATGGCTATGGTGGCTATGGTTACGGCTGTTGCCGGCCTCTGTGCTGTAGAAGATACTGGTCCTATGGTTTCTACTGAGCAATTCCCACAGTGCTCAGTCTATTGGCTCTAACCTTCTTTAATTAATTGAAATCATCTCCAACTTTCTTCACATGAGAAATATTCAAGTATCTTCAAAAACAACTGAATAATTCAAACAATACAATGCAGCATGCCATTTTGCTTTATCAGTATGTTTCAGATTATGTGATAATTTGTAGAAAAATTTTGTTATTAACATTGTATGCATAATTGTATGCAATCAATTTTACTCTAATTTCTGTGTAAAATGTATTATTAAATTAATTATTACGAATACTGATCTGTTGCAGTTGTACTGCACTGCATTGTTCATATGGTTTTGCATTCGTGTTTGGTATGTGTGGTTGTAGTGTGGGATAGAAAAAAGAGGAAGAAAGTTGAGAGAGAAAGAGAAAGAGAAAAAGAGACAGAGAGAGACAGAGAGAGAGAGATCAAGCTCTTTAAATATAGCTGCCTAAAACTGAACAAGGTAAAATAGCAGTTCTTTGTGAAAGATCATATGAATTTGTTTTTACATACATTTTTATCTCCCCTACTATTTCGATTTGCTTATACTCATCTAAATTTGTAAAATAACCATTTCCACAATGACACTTATATGTACACCAAGTCAGTTAAAATTGTGTATCTCTATAAATTGTATCATGTGCAACATCATTTGTAAGACTGCATCAGATTGATCTCTGCCTCTTGTTTCTATTTAAAATGATTTCTGCCTAAAGGGTGACTATTGAAGTTATCATAGTGAAAATGGTTGTACAAGTAAGGACATTCTGCCAAAATAGCTCTAAGCAGCAATCTCAATATCTATTATAACTGTTTTGAAAAATTTACATGTATTATATACATATAACAAAAATAACTTTTCATGAAGTCAGGATGTATTTGATCAGTAACAAACTAGAATGGATTTTTTTTATTATTTAAAAACCTGTTCTTCATCAACTTTATATTGTCAGGAATTCTAATTATCCCCATATTAAAATTGTTCCTACCCTTAAAGAAATTAGGTTTCATTTGGGAAACAAACATCTAACATCAAATACAATGATAAACTGGTGGAAAAAATAAATATTAGGTGGCCCAAGACTTTGAAGATGGAGAATTTTGAAAAAGTCCATTCCACTGTACTTGAAGCTAGAAGATGAGGATCAGTCTATGAGGAGAACTTAATGATCCAAATTTTGATGGCTACTTTCTTCGTGGGTTATAAATCAGTTAGAGATCAAAGAAAACAAAATTCTGGGATAGCTATGTAGTTCAGTGGCACAAGTACGTACCTGTGGCAAGTATGAGGTCATGAGTTTGATCTCTGGTCCCCCCCCCAAAAAAAAGAAAGCACAGCCCTGTAAAAATGTACTATTAAAGTATAAAGCAAGGGTTCTCTTTGAAATACTTTACAGCTTCTGAAGTTACACAGATCTGTTGACTAAGAGAACCACCAGATTATTTGAAAATTACAAATTCTGTCAATGTAAAAATGGTGAGAAAATAAGCACTAGTGTTATGAATTTGTTAAGACTCCTTAACTAAAAAGATTACATGCTATTTTGTGGGCCCAAACAAAGGAAGATAGACCCTGGTACATAACTGTATTTTATGTTAATTTTTTCTTGAATTAGAGCAAACAGATGTTTTCTTTTTCCTTGCTTTTCTTTTTCTTTTTTGACAAAACCTATTTTATCTAAGATGATGAATAAGTTCTGAGCTCCAGGGATCCTGCTATCTCAATTTGCAAAGTAAATGAACTAACCACAAGCAAGTGTCTCCACTTTCAGATCCATATGAAAATCTAACATATTCTATGAATCAAGGAGCAAATATAAAAATATTTATGGTGAAATTCAATACTACAGATTTTCTATGATTTCAGTAAATAAGCTGTTTATGAAACCCTATATAAAAGAGGTAACATCATGGAAACTAAAAGATGAACAACATTTTGCAGCTTGCAGACAAGAAATACTAGAATAGTCATAACTGATAAATACATTTAAAGAAAAAATGCTCAATGTATATTAAATCTGCAGAACTTCAACCCAGAAACAAATTTAAATTCTACTTAAGGAAGTGAGAAATATGGTTACGAACTCAATAGACATAGAAGAAATATTAAACTGAAACATACAGTGATAAAACACAGTCAACTGAAACAAAAATATAAGATTAAAATGTAGAATTCCAGGGTATTAAACATGTGGTGAATCTAATAAGATAAAACTACATGTAAAGTAAATACAATAGAGGAAGAAAAGTAAACCAAAATCTGTTTTTAATAGAAATTTTTGCATATTTTTCAAAACTGTTGAAAAATATCATTGCATAAATTTTAAAAGCTCTTAACTGCCAAGAGAAAAAATACCAGTTAAAGCACCTAACTTACTAGCTGAAAATAACATGCAAAGCCAAAATTTTAATTTAGGTCAATAAAACAAATATGCTACCTATAAGGACAAAGAGTAAGTCTGACTATAGGCCACTTCAACTGACAAGAATGGAACTGGAAGAAAATGTAATGATATATTTAATGAATAATCATCAGAATATGAATAATCATCAGTTTAAAATTTCACACAATCAAACTTTCCAATTTAACAAATTTAAATGAACAATTCTATTAATAAAATATAAAATACTTATCTTCAATAAAATAAAAGTAAAACTTCGTAGACAGTGACAAAATATACCTTTTCAAATTTGTATAATATTAAGAAATGATAGATTTATTGAGAAAAAGTGATTGAATTGATAAAACACGAATGTTCATAAAATAATATTAACCAGACATACAACAGAATATTGATTTTGTGTATATATATATATATATATAATGTTTAATGTTTTAGTATACAGAAAATGAGTTACAAGAATTATCATAAAAGGCTAATAGTCTCTTCCATAACTAGCAATACTGGTTCTAGGCATATGACCAACTAATGTGTTTGTAGTTTTGGTAGATCATTCAGGGGAAGGCAAACTTTCTGTCTAGGGGTAGTCAGTATTTGAGGTTTTGCATGCCTACGATCTGTCTCAGTATTGAGTTCTGCCACTGTAATGTCAAAGCAGTTTAATGTGTATATATAAATGGATGAGATTTTTTCCAGTAAAACATTATTTAACATAAATACTGGGCAAGACTTTGCTTACCCCTAGGTGAAATTAATATTTAGTAGAAATTGTTCATTCTTTTCTCCCACTAGGGCAGGATTCTACATTGTGCCCTCTTCGAGTGTGGTTACCGATGACATGTTTCAGCTTCCTGCGGACAGCGTGTATTTTTGTGACCCATGTCTTTGTGGTTAGCCGTATTTTCTGCATGATCAGGTTTGCAATTAGCTAACATTACCATTGCTTAACAAAACACCTTACATTTGAAACTTAAAAGAGGGGAGGGTTAGTTTTGCTCACAAGTTGGGGGATCCAGTACTTTCACAGCTACCTCCAAGTCAGAAACATCATTGTCAAGTGTTTGGCAGTGGAAAGCGGTGAAGCTGCTCACCTAATAGCAGCCAGGAAGCAGAGAGAGGCAGGAAGCAAGGAAGGGGAGATAGGCCCTAAAAAGACATGCTGAGTGACACAGATCTTCCAGTGAAATCCCACATCCTGACAACCCACTCACCCCTGAGCACATCTACCCCTGGGCACATACACCATGGGAACACCCACTCATGAGCACATCAATGGATTAATCCATAGATAATTAGATTCCCAAAGTCCCACATTTGGATGAATACCTGTGCAATGTTCTGGAGTCATACCTAAATAGAAGTTTTGACATACAGTTCTTGGGTGGAGGTTTTTTGCATTCATATTTAGGATTTATCTTTTATGATTTATTACTGTTTTTAATTTTTACTTAAAGAAGCTGCCTTGTCTATTTGAGGAAGATTAGAGTCAATTTAAGGAAGATCCGAGTCATTTGTACAAGGCTTGAAACAAATCCAGAGTATTTAACAACTTTAACAAACTTTAACAAAATCCAGATTATGTTGGCCACCTCACTGCCTAACTGTATTATTGCGGTACCTTTTTTACAATTTATGAGTCAGTAATGATATATTAGGATTAATGACAGTCTGCTGAGTCCAGCATAGCTCTTGAAATTCCCAGGGTGAAGGCTGGCAGAGGGAAGAATTGGAAACAACAGTCAGAATGTAGGAAGCCGAGGTCAGTTGGAGCCCTCTCTCCAGAGAAGGGAGGGAAGGAAATGCTTTATGTGTACTACCTGTTTATTTATACACTCAGGAGGCTGTGCTAGCTGAAACCCCTCTGCCTAGAAATTTGATTGCTTGCCTGGACCAGGGGTGCCTGGCATTCTCATTTGGAACAGCTTGGTTAGGTGGCTCACCTGGGGCACTCCCACATTAGTGTTGAGTTTACATTGTTGCATTACACTGTGAGACTGACACTGTATGGTAACATATCCACAGAATCGCAGCACAATATCATACAGAACATTTTCTGTAGCTTGAACACATCATTTGCTTTAGCTAATTACCCTTCCCTACTTCACCAAAATGCTTGGTTAACCTTCAACAATATTTATCAGTTAAATAGTTTATTTTTCAGATGTTACATAATTAGCATCACATGGTAAGTAGTGTTTTCAGATTGTTTTCTTTAACATAGCAGCATGCATTTAGGTACCCACTGTATCTTTTCATGCTTTGATAGCTAATTTCTTTTCAGTACTGAGCAATGTCAATTTCCTAAATGTACTACAATTTATTTTAATGCAGAATATTATGATCGGCTCTAAGTGTTGGCAATTACAAATAGCTTCTATATACATTTCTGTACAGGTTTTGATATGGATGTACATTTTCAACTCCTTCGCGTAAATATGCTGCAGTGCATTTGCCTGCAAAATGAAAGTATGTTTAGTTTTTCATGAAACTATGCAATTATCTTCCAAAGTAGTTGTATTATTTTACAGTCCTGTAGAGTTCCTTGCAACACTTAATGAGTTGATGTCTTCTCGGATTGACTAGGGAAGCAGAAGACTACTAACTCTGAGTTGGAACGTCATAACAACAGGATGCTTTGAAAACTTGAGCAGACATGGGCCTCATGGATAAAACAAGGAAATTCCCTAAAGGGACAAGCAGATAAAAGTAATTCAGCCAAATTATCACCAAGCCTTGCTGACATGAAACAACCCTCTGGGCTCAGCAGAACACTATGACTTGGTAATTCCTCAACAAATCTGGAAGTTTGGTCAGGTTATGTGAAGCTCCTTGAACCTCCCAAACATATTTTCTGTCACTTCTATCAGGGTTTGCTAGCCAATCCCTGTATGGTCCCACCAGGAAAAATGAAGATTTCCACTGCCCCACATATTCATCAAGATTTCTAATTCTGGTTTATTCACTTCAAAATAGACTACATAAGTCTTACCATTTTAACCATGCTAGCACATGTCCCCACATTACAGTGATTTTATTGGTTTCCTTATTGATATGGAATCTTTACATTTTATTTTTGGATATAAAACAATTTGAAATTTTTATCATAAAACATGAAATACTAGTCAAATATTTATAGTAATATTTTTAACATCACTTATTAAAAAGTCAATTTCTTCCTCACTGCTCTGAAGCATATGG